CTCCTCCTGCATGCTCATTTTATCTGATGCTCCCAAGAGCCCTTTGAGATGGAGAAGTATTATTATCCCCGTTTTTCCCATGGGAAGATTGAGGCCTAGCTGGGTTACACGTCCTGTGCAGGGCCCCAGAGGTGGGAAGGGGCAGGGGCAGGCCTGAGCCCAAGTACCCGGGCCTAATCCTCAAGCAGCTCCCAGCGGCTCAGTAGCCAACGAACCATGGAAAGGCGGTGCCACAAGTTCAAATAGGGGTCCAGGCAGGTGCACCGCTACTCAGATCCAGCCCACTTTTGTAAGATTTTCTTATTTTTTCAGACATTTTTCTTTCTTCTAAAGTGAAATATCTCCATTTTTCAATTGGCAAGCAAAGTTTAACACACACACACACACACACACACACACTCTCTCTCTCTCACACACACACACACACACACACACACACTCTCTCTCTCTCTCTCTCTCTCTCTGTCTTTCTCTCTCTCTCTCACTTTCTCTCTCACACTATGGAGTTAACCGTGTGTGGGGCCCAACCAAATACATCCATAGCCTGGATTCAGCCTGCAGGCTCTGCTAGAAAATAGTAAGTGTTCATGAGCATAGAAAAACTATTCTTGGGAGCCTGACTCTCCCCTCCCTGCACTCCTTCAAGGCCCTACTAGGAGACATTGCTACGGATCACATTACCTTGAAACTCTTTGCTGTCTGAATTTTTCCCGTTTCCCCTTGAACGCGTGGTTTTCCTCTCATTGAGCCCAGGGGCCCAGCCCTTACTAAACATCTGTGTGCCCGGGGTGGGGGGGGCATTACTGCCGGTGCTCCTGTCCGTCCTCCCAGCAAGCCTATGAGAGAGATCGCTGGCCCCCCTCCCAGAGGAAGGGCAGGCAGAGAGAGCTGGAGGAGGACATTGAGAGTCGAGGGCAGGATCAGAGGATAAGTGGAAAGCTGCTGTCTTTTTTTGCAGCCTGCTCTTTTATGACACCTACAAGGGATGTGTTTGCTCAGTGTTGGCTTCACTCCAGTGATGCAGGTACTGGCCAGGCCATTGATGACTTGTGATTCAGATTCTGGGCCTTCTTGATGCCTTCCTCCCAGAGTCTGTTCTGTGACACACTTTCTATCCCCAGCCTCCCCTCCCTGCTTCAGGCCCCTCTAGAAAAAGATTAACATGCTCACATTTCCCTAAGGCAACATCTTGTTCCTAGGAATTTCTGGGAAGCTGAGAATTCAGATGAACAACAGCATTAAAACCAATGCAAAGTATTTGAATAGCTAAATATTAAATAGGTTTATTCAAATCTCTCAGCCACATGTAAAAATGAAAAACAGGCTGTAGAAGCAATAGCCAGAGTTTTATAAACCTGGGGGTCTGCACAGGCAGGCACTGCCCTGGCCCCTTCTGGGTGGGACAGAGCCCTGGAGACCCAGGATGTCCAGATGTTGACCTCAGGCCTTGCCTAGTAGCTGCAGCAAGAACATTCTTTCTTAGCTTGTAGACATGAGAGGGACACCTGTCCTTCAGGGCACTAGACAGACAAATAGATACCTTCTACACCAGAAGGAGTGTTGCACAAACATGAAGCCATCAGCAAGGCCACAACTCCAGGTCATGGAGAGTCAGGGTCACTCTTGCTTGAGAAGCACATTGTGGACTGCTCGGTGATGCTCTGAGTGTTTGTGAATCAGATTCGTCAGCATTGCATCCTTTCCTTGATACAGTAGGAAGTGTGGCTTCTGGGGTGGAGAGGCTTACAAGCTGTGAGCTGGATCAACTTGGAGCAAGTTTTTGTAATTTTAGTTGCCTTGTCTATAAAACAAGGATGAAAGAGCAATATACCTTTTAGGATGAGAATAGGGCTTCACGGACAGATGTGGACAAAAGCACGTGTGCGCTCTTAGGCTCCCTCCAAATGGCAGGTGGTGTTTGTCTTGGAAGCTATTCTTGGAGTAAGAATAAAGCAAGCTCTTTATCCCACTCGTAGCACAAACAAACATCTAGACATCCCTGCCATTGAGGGAAGACCAAAGAAAACCCTCTGAAGGTGCAGAGATGCTCAGAGATATTTGTGCCCCAGCCTCTCTGTCTGGTTCTGCCGCAGCCCAGCTGCTGAGATGCAGAGCAGCTGCCAGCAGGGAGGGAGTCCTCAGCGAGACCTCCAGCTCCTGGAAACACTGCCCACCGCTCAGGCATCCAACAGCCATGACCCTGCTGGTGTACACGAGAGGCAGCTCAGCCGACTGAGTTCCTCGAAGAGGCTCCTTAAGTTAAAACAATTTTGATTCAACTTCTCCATAGGAAGCGCGTTATAATAAGAAACGATGTTCCCTTCCAGTGGCGCAGCGTGCAACTTTTTCTAGAGGAATCCCCAGTGCAAGGGAGCAGGAAGCTATCTGAGGCACAGGGGAGAAGGCTCTATGTGAGGCAGATCAGAATACAGATGCCAGAATAGGAGAAGCTGTAAGAAGCCCTAAGCCGGCCGGTGTGAACTGTGAACCGTTGTTTATAATCGTGACTGTAATACAGTCAGGAAGTAAGTGCTTCATGCACTAGATGCAGAGTTTCTCGCCAATTTTAGGGGAACCTACCGGAGCACTTTAAAAAGAAAGGCTGACTGTGGACTATTTGCTTCTGGCCAAGTGGGTGGGAGGCATGGCTGACCCAGGCCTCCTACGTGTGTGAAATGTTCTGCAGTTACAGGAAAACTTGCTCAGGCCTTGGAAACTTTTTTGCCCTGGAGGTTGTGAAGAAGAAGAGAATGCTTGGCGTTATTTTCCTGCAAAGGGAACATTTAGAAAGTCCTGAGGGTGCAGCCTGGAAACCACAGGCCGCTTGGAAAGGGTGTCACATTTGCCTTCTGGAGGCAGGGAGCCAGTCCTGGGAACTGGCGCCAGCTGGCTGGGGAGCCCCGGTTAACGTGCTCCGGGGAACAAAGTGAGGACCAGCACGCCCTGAATCAGGGAGCTTCACTCTGTTCACAGAGGGGTTGCCTGCTGCCCAAGACCCTGGCCTGGGAGCACAGAAGGGGGCTGGGCCGCTAAAGCCACTGGGAGGAGACCCTAGGCCCCTCTTTCGGGTGGGGCAGGATGATGGAGGAATCTGAGCAAGAGGCAGCGAGTCAGGAAGTGTGTTGTAACCAGGTCGCCCAATGCCTCAGACAAGGCAAGGCCACCGTGCCCTGCCAGAGACACCTCCTCCCAGTTTCCTGCACTGCAAGTGCTCCCTTTTTCTAAGGAACTCCTCAGTTGGCTGTCAGTAGCTTTCCATTCTGACCTGACACGAGTGCAGCAGAACTGCCCAGGGCCAATGACTGTAGCCCACCTTGGAGGCCTGCTCGCCGCGGGGAGACAGGTACACAGGGAATCCACTCACTGTGCTGGGTGTGACCCCTGAGGACAAACAGAACAGCAGCTGCGCTATATGGAGTGCCCTGGTCCTGTGCTAAACACCACATGTGCATCAGGGGCTCAAATCCTCAAAACCAGTAGCATCCCCATATTACGCATGAGAAGACATGGGCTCCTGGAGCTTAAGCAACCTGCCGGTTTCACCCAGCTGGCACGTGGCAAGGTCCAAACCAGCAGCAGGAAGCTTGCTGACTAGGCTGGATTTCAAAGTTTTGCACACAGTTAAAAGCAGTTTTATGTGTCCCTTGATCCAAAGCTACCTCTGACCTCAGAGGTTACAGCCCTCCCCACGTCCCTGAACGCGGCCATCGGGAACATTCTGAGTGCGGTGGAACTCGGGTGGACACCGTCGGAGCCTGGGAGTTGCTGTTTTCTGCAGGCTTGCCTGGTGGAAGCCTTCATGGCAGACTTGCTCCGTGCCGCTGCGGCCCTCTGGAAGGTTGAGTCAGCCGGGGTTTGCTGCCGGCGCCACGGTGCCCTCAGACTTTGCTGAGCCCAGGCATAGCACCGGGGAGGCACACCTACTGTCCACCTGCTCTGAGTCATAAAACTGCCACACGGCTGGCAGGCCTGCCAGCTCTGCGACTGCCTCCGGTGCCACCTTGCCGAGAGAGAGCTGAGCCAAAGATGGCAGGGCACCAGGCTGCGCTTCCCCCAGCCCTTCCCCTTGAACTCTGCCGTCGGACAACCAGACCAGTCGAAGCTCAAGGTCCAGAGTATTTTCCTGGCTTTTCACCAGGTGGCTAGGGAGAGAGAGAGGCAGAGGGCAGCCTCAAATCCAAAGGCTCAGGCCCCAGGGGAGAGTCAGGCCACGAACATGTGGTGGGGTTGTGGGAGGAGCAGACACCATGGCCACCAGGAGGAGGCCAGAGAGAGGTCACAGGGGCGGGGGCGCGGGCGCGGATGAGGTTTTATTGCCTATTTCGGGCTTTTCAGCTATATCCCATTTGACATTTGTTGTAGATCTGTCACTGAGAGTCTTTCAGCCGAAAGGTTCCCACTTTTTCTTGACTAAAGACTTATCTGCCTGTTTAACTTACGTTCTCCAAACGATTGCAGATCTCGATAGCACCTAAAAACACCCTTTGTGCAAAGTTCTCCAGAAGCACTCTCTCTGGCTGTTCTCTGTCACCAGGACTTGCGTCAGTGTAAGCACTGGGTAAGAGAGCCAAGTGGAAGTGAGATCACCCCTTCTACTAACATCCAGGGCAGTAGTGGGGCCCTGCACGTGGAACTTGGCCTCTGGCTGCCCGTGCCCACCTTTGCTGGAGGCCTCGTACCTACCACAGATGTTGGTGTGTATTTGTTTCCCCTTAGAAAATCCGAGGAAAGGCTGCTTGGTGCTGGATGTGGGGCGCCTGGATTTAACTACTAGTACCGGGTTTCTGCAGATGAAAGATTCATGATGGTGCCCAGAGAACCCCGAGCTTAGACACCTAGGCCGTCACTCCAGTTGCTGAGGGGCTGCGTAGTAACCGCCTCCGGGAGGCGGGGGTGACGGCCGCGCTTGCCTCCTTTCCCCCCAGTAACACAGAGCATCGTGAGTGCTTCAACAACTTACAGACGACTGTTCTTCACGTTTAAAATAAATTCTTTTTCAGACTTCAAGTAGGAACCATAACTGAAGATGTCAAGCAAAACCGCCAGCACCAACAACATCGCCCAGGCCAGGAGAACCGTGCAGCAGTTAAGGATGGAGGCCTCCATTGAAAGAATAAAGGTAAGAGGCCTTGACCGGCTCAGGCGTGTTTTCTGGCCTGTTCTGTGTGCTCTCCCAGGGCTAGACCACATTTCTGAGAAGGCGATGCCCTTTAATTCAGCCAAGTGCCAGGATTCCCACTACCCCGCCGCCTGCCCTGACCCCCGGCAAGCTGGGAGCCTCTGAATCTTCTTTCATTTCTACCTAGTGCGGGCCTCACATCAAAAGCACTGGTGAGCTAGTGTCTGAGTTAGCCTCTCTGCTTGGACAGAAAACCTGAAACCCGTGACAGGATTTCCTGAGGACTTGCCTGCCCTGAATGCACACGGTCAAGGCCTGTGCTAGCTCTGTGCGCCAGCGGGACAGGGGTTCCAGGTGGACGTTATAAACAGCCTCGTCATCCCTCGGGAATGTAGTAAGCATTCTAGGGCTATCAGTGCAGCCGAGGTAGCCTTGCATAACATGTCTGCCGTCGGGTGTCCTTTTTAGGAGACGGCAGTTTTTTCAGCGTGTGTGGACTTTAATGACCACATTCTGCGCCCGGGGTGAGTCACGCCGGCCTCGGTTGAGACCTGGAAGAAACCAGGAGGCATGTGTTGGGTCACCTGACTTTGAAGTCGTCTCTCCCCAAATCCCGAGAAAGGGCTAGGCTGTAAGTGCCCTGGAATGTTGTGAGTCATCCCGTATCCTAGATACTGAAGTGGTCACCTGAGAAATTCCTCTGGGCCTGGAGACAGTCACCTGTCTTCCAAACAGGAGGCTGCCTGTGCTGTCTCGGACAGGGCTCTGCTGCCCTGTGCCCCTGGCCTGAGGACGTTGATCTGATCGTTCTGAGGGCTCTCCCCGCCAGACTTCTGAACAGGGTGTGGCACTGCCATTCTTAACTCGTGCCAGAGGAAGGTACTGCACCTCCCCATGCTAGTTTTGTCCTTTTTATTTCCCCAAGCCCAACTTTTAACAGTCAGTCTTGAAGCTCTCCTAGAATTTGGCTCTATTCTTTCAGAGTTCTGGCTCCAAGCCCATGATTCAGCTCTTTAACTCAGTTCTGCCTTCTCATCAATTTTTTATTGAAGAGGAAGTAAGATACAACCTTCCCTTGAATTACAGACACTTTTCTTCTTCCTCTCCTGCCCCTGCAACTTTTTATTTTGAGACATTTCAAACCTACGGAAGAGTTGTGGCAACAAACACCCGTATGCTCTTTCCCAGGATTCACCAATTGTTAGCATTGTGCCACATTTGCTTTCCCTTTTTCTGTTTAAAGAAAAATTATGTGAGTTTTGTGTAGCTCTAAACTACCTGAAAGTTACTTGCAGGCATCGTGACTCTTCACCCCTTGTACTGTGCCGTCTCCTAAGTCCAGGAGCCTTCTTCTACATAAGCACAGCACAGCCACTGCGTTCGGGATCAGCTGCTAATATTATCTAACACAAAGCCCAGTTTTGAGTACAGAACGGCCCTTACTTCAGGGGGGATGGTTTGCTGACGATCAGATTCCGGCTACGTGTTTCGGCAGGAATACCAGTTGGCTGTAGTCTGCCACACTCACCCTTGGAAACATCTGATGTCAGTCTGATCGCTTGGCTAAGGAAGACCTTAGCTGCCAGACTTCTCCATTTAAAAGCACTTTTTCCAAGTAACAAGTAATCTGGTAGCTACCCAGTGGGGGTAGCACGCAATGTCTTTAAATGAAGTATTTTTTTCTTTGTTTGCTTTGGTTTGTCCACCTGCCAGGTTTCAAAGGCATCAGCAGACCTCATGTCCTACTGCGAGGAGCATGCCAGGAGTGACCCTCTGCTGATGGGGATACCAACTTCAGAAAACCCTTTCAAGGATAAAAAAACCTGCATCATCTTATAGAGGAGCAGTGAGGCGGTTCCTCCCCTGTTCTCACAAAGCAAATTATGAGCAGCTCCTTGAAAAGATTGACCCTTCAGCTTATTTGGTAACCACTGCTAATAACTAAAACACTCTTAACTTGGAATCATGGACTCTGAAGTCTTTATTTTCCAAGTTGTCCTCTCTCTAAAATACCCTTTACTAAATTAATACAGAATAACGATCTTGTTTTTCCATTCAGGTTACTGCTGAAGGAAAGTTGGTCTGGCCTTTTTAAAAAAAACACACAATTAGATACTTTTAAATGTATGAGTGATCCAGTTAAGACCTAAATTACCCAAGCACCCATCTAGATTAAAAATGTCAAGAATAACTTAAGTCCTAAAAACCTTTCTATCATAGTGTGTTCTTAATAGGGTTGTGCCAATCTGTACAGTATATGTGGGCGAGGAGTGTTTTGTGTATATATATATATGTGTGTGTTTGTATATACACATCTCAAAGCTTGTTTCCTTAGTAAAAAAATGTCTCTCTCTCCATAGCATCAGTTCCTCAACTCCAGAAGTTATACCTTTATCTTGAGCTGTGTGTAGGCAGAGTTAAACCCTTTTCTTGTAGTTACTGTACAAAAAGTAAAGAACACCCTTAAGTTTGTATTCATCGTGATTGAATAATGAAGTCCTCTCTCTCCTTTTGAAATCTTGCTGACCTCTTAGGCTACAATAACCTGTGCCAATTAACATTTAGAAACTGAACTAAAAGCCCTTTGATAATAGGAGGTATTAGCTCACCAAGGGCTCTCGGGCTTCAGTGATCCTGAGTCCAGAAGCAGGGAGGAGGCCGTTGGGGATCCTCTGGGCAGCTGTGCGCCTGGGCGCCCGTTCTCTGCGTCATGGTAGACACCTCTGAGAGCTCCGCTCGAATGATGGGAACAGAGCAGAAGTGCGTGAAAACCAGCTGCTCTTCTTGGCCTCACTTTGTGGTTTAGCTCGCTTTCTCCGCCTGCCTTGCCTTGTGTCTTTCCTCTGCTGCTAGAACCTCTATCTTCAGAGGTAATTTTCCCCTCCCCAGCCCCAAGTGGGTGGAATGTGGTGGCAGAGAAACATACAAAGAACATAAAGGTATCGACACACTTAAGCTCTTTTCAGAGCTCTGCAGCATCAGCGTCCTCCCTACCTTGTCCACACGCCATCCGAGAGAGCCTTGGGTTCAGTGGTCCACTCCTTGGGCCCGCGGGGTCCAGCAGCGGGGGGTGTCAGGTACCTTGTTTTCCTCTGGGCATGAAATTTCCAGTGGGGAATCCCAAAAGAAGGCATCTCCTATGGCCAGAGGGAGGGTATGTTAACTTGACCAAAAAGGAAGAGAGGGTCCATCTTTCTAAATCCTCATGTACAAGCCCAAACCATACACCAGGCCTTTGATATTTTAATTCCTCTTCAGTTCATTAAAAATAGCTACTAATGAAGGATTAAAAACTTATTCTCGAAAAGGATTCAACCCCAAGAAGGAATTATTTGCAACGGTTTTTCCTTGTTCCATACACTCCCGCCCTACAGTACAAGCTCCCTTTAAAATCTAACGGGGCTTCGAGTATTATGCTGATTGTGGGTGAATAAATGCAGTACTGTCTTTAAAGTGCTCAAATATATTCAGTATTTCTCCAAGTCACCTATCCTCTCAGCATTGGAAAGGGCCTCCCTCTTCCAAGACCGTGTAGGAATCATGCCACTGCCCTTAACCTACTGTCACCTACTGCTTGGTTCTGCAATATGCCCAGTTTCCGAGTAAATTACAGGCACTTGTTGGAGAGAGGTTTTTCCTTGCAAAAGGTGAAATTTGAAATGTACATTAAGATAACTTTACATTTAATGCATCACTTAATGAGACATTCTTTTTAATAAGTATATTTTTCTACTGATAGTTTCAGAACACTAATCTTACCTTCACTCTCATTTTTACCTTGTTTCTTTAAATATTTATAATGCAGCTTGTTATAAAATATTTTCATGAAATTACTTTTATTATCCTGTTAATGTACACATCTTTGGTAGCAAACATAGTTTATTCTTTAGTACTAAAACATGGTCTTTTACCTAACAGAAAACAAGTATGTTTTGCTATATATTTGTTAATATGCTTGCAGTGGTAAGGAAAGGACTTGAGGTCCCAGGAGATTTCATTTTCATTTTTGCTGGCCAGATCCTGTAACGGCTGTGCCTGTGAACATCATGTAACTTCCTAATTGGGTATAGGGCATGTTAAAGAAAAGTGAAATCAAATCCTTTGATGCTGGACCCAAGGAGGGAAATACTTGTAGCTAAATGTTGACTTACTTATAATGAGACGTCTATGTGAGAAAAATATAATATATGTATACATATATATGATACACGGAAGTCACTTTTATTTATCAGGCTTCATTCTACTTGTGAAGCCTCTGTTTAACTGTCCTGCAGCAGCTGGTTTAGGATAATGATGGACAAATGCCCAGTGTGTTATTTTCTCCAACCACCACTATGCTGACACAATCCCTATGTACGTGCAGCTTCTTGGCTTCATATCTATGAAGCTCTTTACATATGTTCACTATACTTCGCCTTTAACCCTGCTTCTGTTAACAGTGATCTCTTTTTCCATTCTTATATCTTCATTAGTTCATCATAAATCTGTCCAGTTGAGGCCTCAGGACCATGGCAAGATATGCTAGATAGAATTTCCTGACTCCAAAGTATTTTACAGAAACACTTTTTTTAAATAGAGAAAA